GGAACACTACGCAAATGCGACCACCATGTCGTGATCGCGATGAAGGACACACCAAATATCAGATCAACAGTTCTATAAGACCAAAATGAAGCCGAACTTCGTCTGAATCACACCTGAGGCCCCCAGGACCCCATCCAAACATACCAACAGGTCCTAAAATATGATACAAACTTAGTCGAAGCCTCAAATTACATAAAACAATATTGAAATCATGAATCGCATCCCAATTCAAGCTTAATGAACTAATAAATTTTCAACTTTTAAAACTAATGTCGAATCATACCAAACCAACTTTAATTGACCTCCAATTTTATACACAAGTAATAAATGACATAACAGACCTACCCCAACTCCCGAAACTTAAATTCGAACCTGATATCAATAAAATCAACTCTCGGTCAAATCTCTCAATCTTCCAGACCTTCAATTTTCCAATTTCACCAATTCAAGCCAAAAAAGACCTACGGACCTCCAAATCAATATCCGGACATACTCCTAAGTCCAAAATCACCATACGAAGCTATCAGATCCATCAAAACTCTATTCCAGAGTCGTCTACATAAAATTCAAACTCCGGTTAACTTTAATAACTTAAACCTCCAACATTGGGACTATGTGTCTCAATTCACTCTGAATCATCCCCGGAACCAAACCAACCACCCTGGCAAGTCACATAACCACAAATGAATATAGAAGAAGCAATAAATGAGGGAACGGGGTTAAAATACTCAAAACGGCCGATCGGATCGTTATATTTATGTTGATGACCGGTCGGGGTCAAGGTAGGTCTAGGAAGGATAAGAGGCATATTGATAATGTGGATAGTGCTACACCCTCGCTTCCTTCCACTCCTCACTTGCATTCCTCCGTTGCAAATGGCTGGCAACAATATTCTAGGCATACATCTTTTCCACCACATCTATATACTCACCAGACTACCTATCGTTCATCCTCCCAATAGTATTCTTAACATTCTCCACCACAGGGTTATACCCTGATTCTTCCACATAATCCGGCATATAGTTACATCGCTACACTGGGTGGTCAGAAGTCACAGGGCCATGTGGTGATATGCCTGTCATCTACTCCATTTGCTTCACCACCAGCTGGACCGCAGCCATCTAGATCGCAGCAGGGGTCTAAATCGCAGCCATCTTCATTAGCGACCCTGTCTCCCTCTCCACGAAGTGCGTCTCCTAGCATTTCAGGACTTCACCTTCGGGATAGTAGCATTGAGCCAGATACCTTCCCTTCTACGCATGCTTCAGATACACATGAGGAAGATGATCCAGATGTAGGTTCGTATGATCATTATCATAGGATGATCATCAGGCCTGAGAGCAATGGGTAAGATTTATTTATTACTTCTTTATTTTTCTTGCATTATAATAGCTACTCTTGTTTATTTAATATAATTGCGATATTGCAGGTTCATACCTAGTCATTAGACTACAAAAATAATTACTGAAGCCACTGGCCGGTTGTATGATGTACCCTATGCGACTTGGAGTGATTTTTCACCGGAGCTTGTACAACAAATTTTCAACCAATTTAAGGTTTTAATGCAATTCTTATCTATTTAAGCGTTATATTGACAATATTTTCATCTAATATTATACACTTCATTTGCAGACTAAGTGTGCATGGGAGGATCGATATAACAGTGCAATTCTTATAAATTTTGAATTCAAATGTCGTAAGAGACTAGCTGATTTCTTCTATTTTTGTCGGAAGAAAAACAAGAAGCCTTCATAGGTTCTACCGCATTTATGGGAGGATCTACTGAGGCAGTGGGCCACTGAAGATTTCGAGAAGAAGAGTAAACAGAGAAAGAAGGTCGGAGCATCTGAGAAGGTGGCTCCTTGCACTGTGTGGGTGCAAGGAGCATGGGGACCCCGAGAAGACTGCTGTAATTCCATAAAGTATTAAAATCTATTTTTTCGAACTATATTTATTTCAATTTAGTTAACAAGTTTTATTTTATTTGTAAGAAAAAAAATATGGAAGGAAGCTGACTCACGATGAGTTTTCATGAAGACTCACTCCCGGAGGAAGAAAGCCTCGATGGATCCAAGTAGATGGGTCGAGAAACGGGCGGAGACTACCTATGTAAGTTTCATAACTACTGTAAATTAAAATTTATGTTTATAATATTATCGAATTAATAATTTTCTATATTTTAAATAAAGGGTCGCTACAAAATAAGCAGGGTGTGTAGGGTGACCCACCTTCTATTTTTGACAAAGAAGCGCAAAGGCTTGATTGGATGTTGTCGGTGGTCCTAAAAAGGGGATAGCATATGGCCTTATAGAGAGATCATTTCGGCGCTACAAGGTTGGATTGCAAGGTATAGGGACTTACGCCCAGGGCGAGGCACTTGATAGGTCGACTCTCTCAGCTATAGAGAAGAAGATTGTGAAGCTGTCAGTAGAGCTTGAAGAGGCAAAGTTAGAGAAGAAAAGAGAGATGAACAATTTAATAGCCTACAAGGTCAACTAGAAAAGAGAAATCTACAATTTAATACCCTTCAAGGTCAGTTGGCCAATTTTTTTGCTAGTGGGGCTTTCTCGATTCCCTGATCTCGTGAGTCTTTCCCAGATGCTACTCCTTCTCATCATAATCCTTCGAACTGTGCCGACAATGAAACTTCTAGTAGTGGAGATGATGCAACATAAAACACTCCTTGAATGTTGTTTGTATTATATGTGAAGTCTTGAACTTCTGAATAGTTTATCTGTTGGAATTTTTGCAACTATATAAATGTTGTTGATTTGGTTTTGATATTGAATTGTTTTATTATTGAATTATTTTGTTATCGTTGTAGTTGCGTTATTGTTATTGTTATTATTGGTTGTAGTTGAGTGGCAGCAATGTAATATTGCCATTATGGGTTGTTATTGGCAGGTGGTGTAACTTTAAACCAACAATATTGTATCAAATTTTTACCCAGAAAATCGATTGCATACTGACCGAAGTCGGTCGAAAATTTGAATATTAAATTCCCAGAAATTTAAAATTACCAACCGAAATCGGTCGATATCTGCAATGTAAAATCTCCAGGATTAAGAATTACCGACCGAAGTAGGTCGGAATTTATGTTTTCAAATTTAATATATTTGAATAATACCGACTGATTTCGGTCGAAATGTTACATTTTCAAATAAAATGTAAAATTAATATATCGGCCGGTATCAGTCGCTAAATTAAAAAATAAATAAAAATTATTTTCTAACATACCGAGCAACGTCGGTCAGTATTTTTAGTTTCCCTAGAACGTGTGTCAATTAATTTGGTCAACTTTTGGTTGAATTAACCGACCACGATTGTCGGAATTTGCGACCGACTTCGGTCGCTAGAGGTTAGTGACCAATCTTATTTCGACGAATTAAAGTCGGTCGAAAATCGGTCGGTATTCTTGGACGATTTTTGGCATTTTTCTAGTAGTGATATATTTTGGTTGCAGTAAAAGAGTTTGCTGATAATCAGGTCATTATCCTGTCACTAGGCCATTTTCGATTGGCTTTCTTCAGTAAATAAATTACTTCTCTGGGATAAATCCATCAGGCTGCAGTGTCTTTGGTACGAATTAGGAAAATATTTTTCTGAAAATGTTTTGTACAAAGATAATTCATTTTTTTTATGTTTAGTTTCCAGAAATTATCCTGTTTTTAGAAATAAATTGGATATATGAAATGGGTGAGAGACAATTCAAAAGAATTACCAATGGTGAGGAGTTTTAATTATTACATCAGGTTTTAAAAATGAAGTTGATCCCGCAGGGAAAGGATCAGGGTAGACATATTGGTCAGAAGGCAATCTTTCTACTTGGCTTCCTCATGAATGAAGCAGGCACTGAAAGATTTTCTATTGGATAAGGAAATAATATTGGTATCATGGAATTTTAATCGTAACATGAGTAGGAATGGCAGGCGGTGCGCTGCAGTGCGCACATTGGAGTAAACGATGTTTTCATAAATTGTATTGTATGGGTTTATAATTCAATTATTTTCTTATTGTTAGATCTTTTGAAATTTATAACTAGTCGAAGTGGATTTTACTACAAAATTATACAGCTAAAAAGGAGGAAAAAAGAAAGGAGAGCAAAGGACCATAATTGCAATTGAAAGAAAGGAAAACAATGAAGCAGAGAGTGATTATTCTACACAGACGGAGGCTTATAGACGGTTACAATCAACTTATTTTGAGGAGTATTTTTTTAGAAGTGCTTTTCGAAAAAGTATTTTTGGAGAAAAACATTTTGTGTTTAGCTAATTAATTTGAAAAACACTTTTGATCAGTAATTTGTGTTTTGCCAAGCTTTTAAAAAAGTGTTGTGTCGCATTACAAATAAGGACATGAAGAGATTTACTTAGTAGTTAATATTGTATAAATAAGTAAATAATCACAAATATTTATTATTAAAAATAATAATTAAGTTTTTTTATTTTATTTAAGTAAAATATAAAATAAAATTGAAAAATACTTTATTCTTTCAAGATAATTTAAATATAGTAAAAAATTATTTAATAAATATGAAAGTTCATCCCAAAAGTCATTTATAGTATACATAATAGTTTAAACTAAGTAAGATTATTTTGATATATATAATATTTTGGTAAAGATATTTTTGGTAGGAAGAAAAGTCCAACTGTTTCTGCTTTTGAGAAAAAACAACTTTTTTCTACTTAAAAACTATTTGTGCTTCTAGCCAAAAGCACTTTTTTCTCCCAAAATAGCTTGCGCTTCAAATTGAGGAAAAAAGATACTTTTTTTGAAAAAAAGCACTTTGACTTGAGGAGAAACTTGGCTAAACAGGCTTATATTCACAAAATAAAACAGAGAAGGGAGACATGAAATCAAAGGATGTCCAAGACCCAATAATCAAAAGTAGTCGGAGAAAACTAGCATAAATCCCGGTGCAGATAAATTTTTCTCATCATATTTTAGTTGCACTAACACATCAGACACAAAATCAAACTGTAAATGTAGCAAAATATTAATTTACTCCGCCAATTAGCTATCAACTATATAATTATATGCATTCCGTTCAGGCTCATTTCATTCCAATACAAATACAGACAATTTAGCATTCTAGCGAAGTGGGAAGAGCAAAAAGTTCAAGCAAAGCCATGCTTACGAGAGCTAAGCCTCCAATACAAACAAATAAACTTAAGCATTTGGAACTTATAGATCGATTAATACATGTCCCATTGGAAAGAACATCAACTTGGGTCTGATCAATTTTATATCACCAAACACCAGGTAACTGAACTTCCAAACAATAGATACATGTATTATTTAGTTTACACCATTGAAGTACCATGGTTCATAAAGAATTCTCCTTTGAGCAGATGCAAGATATCCCAATCATGACGAGCTGATATAAGTTCACATGTTATTCCTGCCATACGAAGGTCCATTATAATTGCCATATCCACCAGCTGTGTTATCGTTCTGCAAGGAAGGAGGTGGAGGTCTTGGTCTCGCATACTCAGCAAAGATGACCCATCCATCAAGGAACTACAAATGAGAAAGTGAAAGAGCATTACTTAATCCTCCTCCTAGAACCTTTTGGCAATAACTAAATCATATTCCATGCATTTACCCAATCCATCAAGGAACTATAAAACAGTGAAGCAGCATAACTTAATCCTCCTATAACCACATGGCAATTACTATATTAAATGTCATGCATTAGGAACGTGTCAAGAGAAAGACAAATAGATAACCATGGAAAAAAGGAGACAAATTTGAAGCATATCTATTAACTAGCAACCACAAAGCAGTTTTGTTAATAATCCGGTTTCACAAAATTTGGAGTTGTACCAACAAGCATCCAGGTAAACTAACAAGGAAAACTCAATTTTTCACATGCATGTACCTTACCACATTAACACACTCAGCATGCTATTATAGCCCTGTATATGGAACAATTGGCAAGCTAAAGGAAAAAAACACAACAGCTATGAAGAAAAGACACTCAGAAGAAGTTCATAGTATAAAATAAACCGTACACACCAAAAAGCCATGATATTATAAGTACAAAGATGTATTGATTTGCTCATTTTTCCTTTAAACTTATTCAAAAAATGAAGCTGAGATTACCAAACTCAAGGTGAATCCAAGCTAGGTAGAAAAAGAAGAGAAGTTTCAATAACTTGGGCAAAGCTATTTACCCACACATGACACCATCAGTGGCAGAAGTATAGTAAGGCAATACGCATTCAATTCGAGAAATATACATCCATTCACAAATATAGATAATGGAGCACGCATGTATCAGAGGCCTTAAATACCATTAACACGATGTGCAAGTTTTGGACGCCTCAGTATTCTTGTACATTGTACAATCAAACCTCTCTATAACAGCTACCATATATAACAATATTTCATTATACAGTCAAATTTCTCTATAGCAACCTCGTTTGTACGGATATTTTTTGGCTTTTATAGCAATTGGCTGTCAACCGCCTATAACATCATTAGTTGGCTATTATAGACAAAAATTAAGGATTATCCTTTTTGTATCTACACAATGCTACCGTTGTTTCTAAAGGAATAGGTTGACATTTCAACCCCATATGACATTTTAAATTCATATTAATTGAAGTTTAAATTCATATGGGGTTTAAACGTCTATCTATTCCTTTAGAAACAAGGATAGCATTGTGTCAATAAAAAAAGGATAATCTTACTGCCACCCATGAAAAGAAATTGACTTTAGATAATTTTTGTCTACACCAGCCAAATAATATTTAAACGTCAAATGTTGTTATAAACATATAACAGTCTATCGCTATAAAGGACAAGAAAATGTCAGAACAAATGAGGATGTTTCTTCTCTTCCTTCTTCCAAAAGCTTAGCTGAATAAGATGTCCTTCAGTATGCCCCGCATGGTCCACATAATTCAAAACCATCTTAAAATCTCCATTGAAGTTGAGACACTATTTGACACTAGAAAAGAAGGTGGTCCACATTCCCCACTAATATTTTTGCGCATAAACACCAATTATTCTCTTCCTCAAGTTTTCAACGGTCAGGATCGCTCCTCTAACCACCAACCATGCAAAGAAGCACACATTTCTTGGAACCCTAGGAATCCAAACTAACAAATGTGGGAAATCTCCTTATCTGCCTAGCTTCTTACTATAATAAGTTAGGGAACAATGGGGTAGTTCTCAATTAAGACTTGCTAAGTTGCTAGCTTGAGCGAAGTTGGGTGTCCCTCATCTATCAGTTTAGATCCCAAGGCCGCAAAGAAAGGTATGTTATTTCACTTGCTCGATGGTAGGGAGTGCAATTCTAACAACTGAACGCTTGAGAAGGAGGATCACCATATCAATTGGTGATTTGATATATGACGAGAATCATCGCTTACTAAATTGCTAGGTAAAATCACATTTGTAGTGGGAGCTTTTAAGATGGTTCAAAGTACAATGGACCATGCCGAATAATGCGAAAGGGTGCTCTATTTAGCTGTGCTTTTAGAGGACGAATAAGAAGGCGCCAAGCATGGGATGTTGCTATGGTAGCACCTATGTGAGCAGTTTGGAGGGAGGGAGAGAATAGAAGAGATTGATTTTGTACATCTAAGGATCAACCTTATGATTTTAATGTCTTTTTGGTTTACCAATGAGGTTCTTTTTATAAAATCATATCTTTTTGTAGATTCTCGATTTTTTGGCACTTGATTTCTTTCTTTTTTACCTATAGCAAGTTCAAGTCTTGTTAAAGTAGGGTTTTTCATTACAACATTAAAAAATGTTTGATATGAGGTAAGGCATTCTTCATAAGATGTTTTATACAAGAACATATTTTCAAAATAACAATTCAATATTTGGTTGGCAAATTGTGGTAATGAAAGAGAAATCGGTTGCATAAGGAGGTGAAGGTGATATTTGACGATAGTCCTAACTAATTAATAGAGTTTACATGTCAATAAAAGCAGTTGATATAGAGTATACAGCAGAAGAAATAGTAGAAAAGAAAGGCTTACACCCTTAGAGTACAAGTGTTTATTCCCCATTTTGGTTTAAAATATTTCCTTATTGAGAAAAATATTTTCATCAGGAAAAAATTGCCACAACATTATACGTCATACTAGACAAGCCTTTGAAGTAACACCTCAATTTATTAGTTTTAGATTTATGAAATATATCTAATATTTATCTTGGTAATTGAAAAGGTTATGTCGCAAACAGCATTTTCTAAATAAAGTTTTGGATTTCAAAAGGATTGATGGCCAGTTAACTTATGTTGATTTCAACTTGATATGTAACAGATAAATAGAAATACCTTCTTTTCAAGCAACAAGATAAGTCGATATTAATTTTGCAGCCTACACCATCAAATTCAACTTAAATCTTCTTTTAGGACTTCCTCAACACACCAATAGTGTGTTGGTATACAAAAATGACCAAAAGAATGAAAATCTCCAAATTAATCCCAAAAAGAGAAAAAGGAAAAGAAGGACGTGCTTAAGAATGCTACTAATATCCACACTGGAACACAAAATCCAGAAGCAAAGATGCTTAATTTAGGCTGAAACTCAGAATACATGCTCCTTTGGTTGATTCTATGGGAATGTAGAGCTTAAGGTTCTTCATCTCCCTATTTGCTAGGTTTTATGACTCTCCTTTCATTTTGAGCACTTCAGCCATGAAATATATCAGAAGGCTTCGCACCTGATGCTTATAACTGTACTATGTTTCTTAATTATAAAACCTGAATTGCTGGCGATGAGATATAATAGAGAAAGTTACCAAAAAGTTTTGACCACCTTAAGAGATTCCAGCCCAAAAGTGTCATGCCATTTTATCAAACTTTTCTAATGTCTAAGCAACAAAGAATTTAAACCGCAGATCATATTTACTCCCAATTAATACATAAGATGCCTATACTCCACCCTTATCTTGATAAGAACAGAAATTCAGATCATTACCCCCAATCAGTAACGAAAAATAAATATGTAATATAATATAACTGCTTTAACTATTCTTGCTGTAGTCATCCTGTTGGAGGTTAACAGGCAAAAATATTGGACACGAAAGTTATGTGCAAGTAAATTTGCTCACTAACAGAAAAAGAGGCAATCTAATATCACAACTCACCTGGCCATCCAGGCCCTTTATACCAGCTGCAGCATCTTCCAAAGTTGCATATCTAACAAAACCAAAACCCTTTGAATAACCAGACACCCGATCTGTCACCACTCTAGCTGCAAAAGCAAAACAAATTACATAAATATATTTATATTTTTTCATAAGATATTATCATGTTGCATTTTATCCAGTGAGATAAGTAAAATGTACCATTGATCACTTCACCGTGTTTGGCAAATGCTTCGCGAAGTCCTTCTGAGGTAGTACGTTTGCTAAGACCTGGATACCAAACAAATGAAAAAATAAGTGAGCACTTTAGTTACTGAAAAAGACACCAGTTTCATGGTCCAGCTTGAAGTAACCAAAAACGACCAATCTTAATCGGATCCTTCACTATTCCTGTCCGGCTGTCCCTAACCAGTTCCTCATCCAAAAATATGGTTAACAAGAATTTGAAAGCAGAAAAGACAATTTTCCATTATCAAAACTAACATAATAAGATACTAGCTGAGACCATGTGAAGCTACAAACTGATAACTCCTGACTTGTAATAAACAAACTGATAACTCCTGACTTGTAATAAACAAACGAAGAGAAAGTCTGACAAACAATAAGAATATTTCTTTTGAAAACATTGAAGGAACCATAAACAGCTAGTGATGTTCATTTCTCAACAAATACATCAGTATCACCAAATAAACTCATCTCATTTTTCACAATAGATCCGACACTGAAAACAAATTACAAAATGGTTTACAAGAAAAGTTCAGATCCTTATTGCATAAGAGAACAAATCTAAAAAAGAAATCTTTTTCTGGTTATTCAAATTCTGAATTAATACAATTAAATCAATAAACTGAAAGGAGAATCCGAAGAAAAAATATACTAAGAGAAAAAGAACAAAAAAAGTGAATAAGGAATTATTAATGATAACTCTTTTTTTGGCATATGAAAGGGAACTAACCGGAAACAAAGAGATTGGTGGATGGTTCAGCCGGCGGCGGCTTTTCTACTTGTGGCTGAGGTGGATTGAAAGGAAAGTTGGAAGAAAATGTAGAGAAAAGTGCCCGTAGACCTCGGGATGCTGCCGGAGTAGTCGTCGCCGCCGCTCGTAAGGCCATTAGGATTTAGGGGTTTAGGTACAGAGACTATTCAGGGTTTTAGATTTGAAGAGGAGAAAAATGATTGGGGGGTTTTATAGAAATATCAAGAATCAACTACTTTAGAGTAGGGTTACGGGTTTGAGTCCAGTTGGCCGAATATCACAGGGACTAATGATGGGTAAAGTTCAAAACTGGCCATTTTTACTTAGCTATACAATTTTAAAATTTATTTACTTTTATTATTGTATACTGCTAAAATCGGAGAGTCCGATTTTATGATCATTATGATATTCCATAGCCCGTCTTCGGGAGGCTTGAGACACAGCTCGAGGTTCGACCCCGGGGTTCCCTATGCTCGATCTCGGGGCAACTCAAATCGGTGGCTATCATGGACAAGCGGAAAATTTCCAAGGCACGTGGTCAAAGCTGACAACACCTACAAGAATAGTACAAGTCCGGTACCGGACCATTAAGTAGTTGTACCAGTTACGTTTTTTTGTAATAATTATTTATGTACCATGTTGGGTTTCCCCCTCCTATATAAAGGAGACCCTTGTCATTTATTGCACACATGATATTCAATACAAGAACAAGAACATTCTATGTTCTCTAACTTAAACATTCTCCATCGTCTTTCCTTTGATTTATTGCTTACATTTATTGTGTTTCATTGGTTGTTCCTCATTTATTATTCATCATTGATCAGAGCCATTATCGAGGCCCTTGGAACTGCTAATCCTTCATCGATCATCCCCAGTCAAGCTCATTAGCCCAACCTCGAGGCCCGGCTTAGGCCAGTCCAGGACCCCGATTCACGGCCATTCGGTTTGCCTAACATACTATCCTCAAGCTCTTATCTCATTTTCCTGACTCATACTTAGCATCTATCGCTTAAGAACTAGCATTAAAATAAATCACGTATTTTTAGAACCACAAAATCAAATCTAATTGTTATTACCATTTTCAAGGTAAACAATTCAGCGCCCACCATGGGGCTAAAAATAATACTCCCTCCGTTTCATATTAAATGAGGTACTTTCCTTTTTAGTCTGTTCCAAAATAAATGACACATTTTTAAATTTGGAAATAATTCAACTTTAAACTCTTTCATTTTACCCATTTACCCTTAATGAGAAGCTTTGATAGCCACACAAATGTCATGGCCCCACAAAATTTTTACCCCTGAAGCTTTTAAGACCGCAAGTTTCAAAAGTCTTTTTCTTTTTTCTTAAACTCCGTACCGAGTCAAACTACCTCATATAATATGAAACGGAGGGAGTAGTGATTATTTTCGTGCTGGTTTATTGAAAACACAAGTTATACTTCACACTTTTTCTTGTCCAAGAATCTTTGATTTCAGGTCAAATGTCTAACTCAGTGAATGCACATGAAAACTACGGTCCTAAGGACCATAGAGAGAATGGTGTAGCTGTTTCAGGCGCTGGTGCACCACTGCGAAACCCTGAGGACACACCAGAGCCAATCCTCGTGGGTGTGGGCTCACGCAACGCCCAACACGTCGGTATAAGCTCCTACACTAACATGAGTATATGCCAAGAATACCAACAAGAAGCTCGGAAAACTCCAGCCCGGGAGGAAAGAGAGGCAGACGGGAGGAACGAAACGGGAAAACCTTAGCACATCGTTCATATGATCATTGGGGGGACCGACGTTCCTCAAGGACCCGTGATCAAGCGGACAAAAGTTTCCGCTGCAACAGAAGGGCAAATTCGGGGCTGCATACCCGAGGACATCCTTGCATTCAGTGAAGAGGACTTCGAGACCTTGTCTCATACACATAACGATGCGCTGGTAATTTCATTTCTCTTGAATAACATTCAAATTAAACGTGTACTCGTGAATCTAGGTAGTGCGGCCAACGTAATTAGGTCGAAGGTGGTAGAACAGGTCGGACTACTCAATCAAATCATACCTACCTCCCGAGTTCTCAACGGCTTCAACATGGTCGGCGAAGCAACGAAGGGGGAGATCACCCTCCCGGTGAACATGTCTTATATAGTTCGGAATACCAAATTTCATGTCATCGAAGGTGACATGAGGTAAAATGCATTGCTTGGAAGGCCATGGATACACAATATGAGAGCAGTACCGTCAACTCTTCATCAGATGATGAAGTTTCCAACAAAAGATGGTATAAAAATGGTATATAGAGAATAGTATCCAGCAAAGGAGATGTTCGTGGTTCACAGGGAGGCACCAACTTCTATACCCTCCACCTCGGAGGAGTCGGAGGGCAAACAGACCCCCGAGGACGATGAAGAAAACTTCCTCACTCCCCGAACTTTCATTGCCCCTGAAGAATCGGATGCAGCAAAATCAACAATTGAAGAACTGGAGCAAACTATTTTGATCGAGCGTCTCCCAGATCGGAAGGTATACCTGGGAACGGGATTAACCCTCGAACTCAGGAAAAAAAATCATTCAATTTCTTATTAATGACATCAATTGCTTTGCTTGGTCCCATTTAGATATGACAGGGATCCCGCCGGAAATAACCACCCATCGACTAAGTGTCGACCCTAGGTTCAAACCGGTGATGCAAAAAAGAGACCTCAGTCCGAGGTAAAACACGCGTTCATCAAGGACGAGGTAACAAAACTCCTCAAAATAGGGTCTATTAGGGAGGTAAAATATCCCGAATGGTTGGCCAATGTGGTGGTAGTTCCCAAAAAGGGGAATATGTTAAGAATGTGCGTAGATTATAAAGACTTAAATCGAGCGTGCCCCAAAGATTCTTTCTCGTTGCCTAACATCGACCGCTTGATTGATGCCACGGTTGGCCAGGAGATCCTCACCTTTCTCGATGCTTACTCGGGGTATAATTAAATTCAGATGAACCCTGAGGATAGGGAAAAGACTTCGTTCATCACGAAGTATGGTACGTATTGTTACAATGTGATGCCCTTCGGGCTAAAAACGTGGGAGCCATGTACCAATGCCTAGTTAATAAGATGTTCGAACATCAAATAAGCAAATCCATGGAAGTTTACATTGATGATATGCTAGTTAAGTCCCTGCGCACAGAATACCATTTGACCCATTTGCAGGAGACATTTGACATCCTCAGAAGCTACAACATGAAACTCAATCCCGAGAAATATGCCTTCGTAGTGGGTTCGGGCAAATTCTTAGGCTTCATGGTGTCAAACAGGGGAATTGAGATCAACCCCGATAAAATCAAAGCCATCGAAGAAATCACAGTGGTAAACAATGTGAAGGCCGTACAATGGCTGACCGGGCGGATAGCAGCCTTGGGCCGATTCATATAGAGGTCATCAGATAGGAGGTCATCATTTCTTCTCCTTAATAAAAAAGAAAAAAAGGTTCGAATGGACTCCGGAATGCCAACGTGCCTTAGAGGAGTTGAAGTGATATCTGACAAGACGACCTTTACTCCACACCCCAAAGGAGGATGAAACGTTGTATTTGTTCCTGGCCGTATCCGAGGTAGCGATAAGTGGTATGCTGGTTCGAGAAGAACAAGGTACGCAATTCCCTGTTTATTATATAAGTCGGACCTTGGGAGATGGCGAAACCAGGCATCCGCACCTAGAAAAATTAGTCCTTACATTGATAAGCGCATCTTGAAAATTAAAGCCTTATTTCCAATGCCATCGTATTTGTGTTTTAACGACATATCCTCTTCGAAGCCTATTGCATAAGCCCAAATTATCGAGCCGACTAGCCAAATGGGCCATTTAACTCGAGGTGTAAGATATCGAGTATCAACCCCGAACGACTATCAAGTCCCAAATTTTGGCGGATTTTCTAGCCCACTTTACGCCCGCCCTCGTGCCCAAGGTAGAGAAAGAACTTCTACTAAAAATGGGCACATCTTCGGGGGTATGGACTTTTTTTACTGATGGCGCCTCGAATGTGAAAGGGTCCGGGCTCGACATAGTTCTGAAGCCACCTACGAGCGGCATGATTAGGCAATCTATAAAAACTGCAAAGTTGACTAACAACGAAGCCGAGTATGAGGATATGATTGCAGGTCTGGAATTGGCCAAAGGCCTAGGAGCGGAGGTCATCGAAGCAAAATGTGATTCCCTTCTGGTGGTAAATCAGGTAAATGGGAACTTCGAGGTTCGAGAAGAAAGGATGCAAAGATACTTAGACAAAATTCAAGTCACATTGCACCGCTTCAAAGAATGGACTCTGGTCCACATACCTCAAGAGCAGAATAGCGAGGCTGATGCCCTTGCAAACTTGGGATCGTCTATCGAGAATGACGACATACTCCCCAAGGTTTTTGTTTAGCTATCCAAATCAGTGATCAAAGAAGGCCATGCCGAGACCAACTCCCCTAGCCTAACATGGAATTGGAGAAATAAATATATCAATTATTTGGAAAGTGGGAAGCTACCCACGGACCTAAAAGAGTCGAGGGCCCTGCGAACCAAAGCAGCCCGATTCTCACTCGACAAAAATGAAACTCTATATAGAAGAACCTTTGACGGGCCCCTAGCAGTATGCCTGGGACCGGGGGACACAGATTACGTGCTCCGAGAAATCCATGAGGTCACCTGCGGAAATCACTCCGGTGCAGATTCCTTAATCCGAAAGGTGATCAAAGTAGGCTACTATTGGGATAACATGGAGAAGGACACCAAAGAATTCATCCGAAAATGTGAAAAATGCCAGAGATTAGCACCAATGATCCACCAACCAGGTGAACAGCTGCATTCAGTCTTGTCGCCATGGCCGTTAATGAAGTGGGATATGGACATCGTCGGATCCCTACCAACGGCACCAGGTAAAACTAGATTTATTTTATTTATGACTGACTACTTCTCAAAATGGGTGGAAGCGCAGGCCTTTGAGAAGATAAGAGAAAAAGAAGTCATTAACTTCATCTGGGACCATATCATGTGTTGATTTGGGATTCCCTCCGAGATAACATGTGATAATCAGAAACAGTTCATCAAAAGCAAAGTAACAAAGTTCCTCGAGGACCATAAAATCAAAAGGGCCGTGTCAATACCCTACCACCCATGTGCAAACGGTCAGGCCGAGTCCACAAGCAAGACCATCATTCAAAACTTGAAAAAGAAGTTAG